CATTCTCTTATGCATTTTCATTAACTGTTGGCAGTTTTCTCAGTGATATCTAACAAGAACTTGTGAGTTGCTGCACAGTCTCATTTGAAACATGCCTGGTGCAGGGCAGGAGTGTGGGACAGCAAGTGTGTGTTTATTAAAGCCAAACCAAAATAGAACAGTCTTGGGCAGTTTGAGGCAGTCAAAAGGGAAAGTTTCCAGGAGGAAGGAAAACATAGGAGAGGGAGTCTGCTCTGAGGAGTACTCCTGCTTCCAGGACATCTATACAACTGCCAATTGGTCTTTATGTTGAGAAGTTTCTGCAGTGACTCATGGTCTGGAAAACAAAACCAACCCAGTTCTTCTTTACTAAAGATGGACTTTTATGTAAGAGTACTGTGGTTGGACTTGACTTGTGGAGCTTGAAGCCAGAAGTGAATCTCTTTTTGGGGGAAAATTGCAAGTCTCTTCACTTGCTGGGGTCAGTTCTGGGGAGTATGACCGGAGGGGAGGTTTGTTCTGTATTTTTCCCCCTTCTGTGACAGATCACTGAAGTACCTGAAACTCCTCAGTCTGTCTCTCCCCAGTGCTCTGTCAAGTTTATCCTCTCTGTGGCCACTGTGAGCAGAAACTCTGAGCTAGACTCAGTGCCCAAGTGCTGAGAAACGATGAGGAAGGGAAAGTTTCTAGAGAAGTGAAATGAGACCAGCTGTGAACTTTCAAATCAAGAAATGCTAGGACCAGTGTGTTTTCTTAGGTGATACCAGTGCAGCTACCACTCTGTCCCTGTTTAAACATGACAGTGGTTTGGCAGAAGGTCTGTTCTGTGGGACCTCTGTCCACCAGGCCATTCCTTGAAGCACGTTGGGCTGAAAGGTGGTGTTAGCTGCTGCTGTGCAGCTGGAGGGGAGGGACGTGTGGCATCTGTGAGACAAGGCAAAACTAGATTTCTGAGAGACAAGGCAAAACTAGATTTGTGTGATTTTTTTTATTTTTTTTGTTTTGTTTTGTTTGTTTGTTGTTGGGCTACATGTGTGGTGATTGGGATACAACTAGAGCACCAAGAGCATGAAAGTCATATTTAGTCATGGTGCAGCCTTTTAGTATCCTGGACACTGCTGTCAACAGTTCATTCAGGTACTCTGTCATAGAACTGTCTGCAGAAACCAGGAGACATGTTAGAGATGGTTCAAGTAGTTTTAAGTTCCTTATTGTCCTGTGTTAGAATAGATGTGACTTTCCCTTTTCTTTTTTTTTCAGTCTGTGAATGAAAATGGAGACAAGATTTCTGCCCTTTTAAACTCCATTTCATTTCTAAATTGGGGAAAGGTCAACATTTGAACCAAGTAGGCTGAATAGATGGAAATTTAAAAAAAAATAAGCCAAGGTTTGGGTTTTCTAAGTAAATTCTGGTTTTGGGTGCTCAGCCTGTTACCTCAGTAGCTTCATTTTATTTCAAATATCGTTAGTGTGTTTGCTTAAATATTTGTAATACGAATTATTTCAGTAGATTATGGTAAGTGGAGACTATAATTATCAATATCTCTAATTAAATGTACCATGGGAATAAAATTGTTTACTCTTTAATCTTAATTGCAGGCAGCTCTTCAACTAGAGAATTTGAAATAGGGACAGGTAACCAGTGCAGGCTGCTTCACTCTGGGAGACAGGGAGAAGGAATGCCAAGGAATGCCATTTCAGAGACACAAGTATAATTCCAAGACACTCAAGATGATCTGGATCCTGTCAATAGTCCAATCATGGCAGCAATAGGCCATTGACAAATAAAGCTGTGGAATTTGAGTGGTATAGAAATGATGTTTTGTCCCTTTGTACTGTCTGAAACTTGGAGGTGAAGTTTGGTTCAGAGACTTAGTTGATATGCAGAAATGATCTTAGAAGTACACAATTTGCATGTAATAAAACTGCAGCCCTTTTTGGGAAATTTCAGTGAGGAGATTTCTTTAACCAATAGTAAACACATGGAGAATTGGTTTGGAGTGTGGTCAGTCAGGTGGCAGTGCTTAAAGGAGCAGGAACCTGCTCTGGGATTCTCTTGATGCTTTTTGTTTTAGACAAAATAGGACATACTATTTCTACTTGAAAGAAAAATTTCCTGTGGAGGCTGAAATCTTTAACAAATGGCAACAAGTTAAAATAAAAAAGTTGTGAAATCCTACAACCTCTAAAACAATTTGGAGTAAAATGAAATGTGTGAAGAGACCAGAGGTTGAGTGGTGTCTGCCAGTGAATGTCAGATTCCAACACTGGTCAGTTTGCCTTGTGGAAAAGGAAATTGTCCTTGAAGAGGTTGGCTAGTTAGATATGTTTATTGTAGGAAAGGGTTTTCTTGAACATCTGAGGGATTTTTGTGTTTGAGGCACAGTTGGGTAAACATGAACTGTGATCTTGAGAAACCTTCACAGAAGGTGAAGCTGCTTGGAAGCAGGTGAGCTGTGTGGGTTGTCAGCAGTGAAACTGGAGTTATCAGGATCACAAAGGAGCCTGGAGGCCTCACTTGGAGTGCAGAACTCTACACTGCCTTTCCTCAGCTGTCCAAGCTGGTGGCAAGGGGAGAGATCATCCATCCACAGCAGAACACAAACATTTCAGCTCGAGAGTCTGTGGCACTTTGGCATCATTAGATCATATTCCAGTGACCTGAACTTTTAATTTAACTTCAGCAGCTACTTAAAATGCTTCAGGATTTATGAGCACCTTGGCGGGTTGTCCATCATGTTCACTGGAGATATTGGGCTGCTTGGGGTTTTTTTTAAAGGTGCTCGGAGTATTTCTTGAGGTCACAGTTGATGCATCAATCAGGAATGTGTTTAAGCACAAATTTCTGAATTTCCAAATCACACTTTGTGGTTTTCTTCTCAGCTTCAGATTCTCTGCAGCTCAAGTACAGCAAATATTGATAACAAATTGAAAGTGGAATTGGAAAGAAAAAGTAAATATAGATTGAAATACTGTGCTGCTAAGTCACTCAAGCAGCATACAGTTTCTAAAATACTCCACATCCTCGAATGCTTTCCTTTTTTAGGTCTGGAAACCAGTTTATATGCTGTTCAGAATTGTTGAAAGCAGCTCAGTGTCCCCAAAGAGAAAGGCTTAGAGCTCTGGAGCTGTGGTGTGTGGTTCACAGCGTGGCTGGGAGTGTTGAGGGCATGAGATCCTAGCTGTGCTGCAGCTGAGGAGTAACACAAAGCAGTGCATGAATGAAACGTGTATGTTCTAGACCTCTGGCTGCATCCATGTGCTTCCTTTGTAAGAGGAAATGTTGGAGAACTTGGTAACTCTGAGAACGTGCTAGGAATGCCTTGAGTTAAAGTTCTGCTTTTTGATCTGCTAAAATTTGATGTAGCAGATACACATTGTGTTGTGCCCAGGGAGGTTTAGCTTAGATGCTGGGAAATTGTTTTTCACCATTGGCACAGGCTGCCCAGGGAAATGCTCAGAAAACATGTGGATGTGGCATTTGAGGACATGGCTCAGTGGTGGACATGGTGCTGGGTTGAAGGTTGGACTTGGTGATCTTTTCCAACGTGAACAGTTCTGTGGTTCTACACCTGTGGTTATGTCTTGCGAGAGACAACAGCAAAGTTGGTACATTGGGAGTCATTTTTTCAGTGAAGGATAAAAGCAACACATAGGACAATTAAATTTTTGTTATTGGAGTGGAAAATTTCAGTGCATGGGAGGAAATAGTCTTTGCTTTACTCAGCAGTGATCCTTCATTCTGATTTGCCTTTAAATTCTTGGGGGGGTTGTCCTCTCTGGTTCGTTTAGGTGTAGCAGGGTTAATGTCCCTGCTGCTCTCTCTCTCAGGGCTGTCCTGAGGCTTAACTGTGTGACACACATTTTTCTGCTACAATTGCAAACACTGGAAAGGTTCCTAGTTGATAGTCTGAGAGGGTTTTGTGGTATTTGGACTCTGTGAGGACCATTAGAGGTTTCAGAATGTCTGTTCTGCATTGTTGTTGTCCTGCATGGCCAACCAGGACTGGTCCTACACGTCCTGCAGTACTGAGGGAAGCTTTGGGGCTCTGGAGTAGTTTAATGTGTGAGTGTGTGCTTTTTGCTTTGAGGTATTTGAGTGGAACCAGCTATGGTTTGTGCTCATATGATTTTGGATCGTGGTGACAGAGGAGTTGGGTTTAGTAGAGATGTTTATTGCACTCTGTGCCTTTGAAGCCTGTGTGTATGTGTTTGCCATGATCAAACATTTTCCAGGGCAGCAGCGTGTTGGAAGACAGTCCTAGCAGGGTTCTTGCATTTTCCACAGGCAGAACTCAAACTTCACTAAACTTGGAAAGTTATTTTTGTCCACAGATGATGTTGACCCATTACTCCTGTAATGGAAACATCTGGCAGCTCATCCTACACTGTGCGAGGGTGTCGTTGGTTGCATAAGAGTTGGTTCTTTAAGGTTGGAAAGGGAGAGATATATCAGGTATCCTCTTGCCATAGCAGCTCAGGGATTGGTTTATTTTTCTGCTGGAATCACTGGTTATGTATCGAGATACTTCTTTTCCTTTCTGGTAACTGTGTCCCTTTTCAACACATCAGTTTTGATGATGATGTTTCAGGCTCAGCAGGATCTGTATTTGGGTGTCTCCTGCCTTAGCAGGGCTTCCCCCTGTTAGACTGGGAGTATGGAAGGGAGTGGGATGGGTTGGACAAATACTGCAGAGAACCCCTTAGCAGGGCTTCCCCCTGTTAGACTTGGAGTATGGAAGGGAGTGGACAAATACTGCAGAGAACAATTTCCTCTAATGGTGACATCCAAACTGGCTGAAACTCACCTCTAAAGCAAAACTTCAGATATCTTGCAGTGTATTTCCATACTGTTAGTTAAAGCATGAGATTAGTAGCTGAGCTGTCACATTTATATAGCTGTGAAGGTGTGAATCCTTGATTTGCAATAGTTTAGGAAGTTGGACACAGCCATTGGTGATAGATATTTAACCATGTTGACCTGTGAATAGCAAAATTCTCACTGTTGTTTTTTATTCCAGGTAGGAGAAGACAAAGAGCACATCGTCCTCGTTCTCCAATATTGGAAGAAAAGGATATCCCACCCTTGGAGTTTCCTAAATCCTCAGAGGACTTAATGGTGCCTAGTGAGCATATAATGAATGTTATTGCCATCTATGAGGTACTAAGGAACTTTGGCACTGTTTTACGCCTCTCTCCTTTTCGTTTTGAGGACTTCTGTGCTGCTCTGGTAAGTCAAGAGCAGTGCACACTTATGGCAGAGATGCATATAGTGCTTTTAAAAGCAGTTTTACGTGAAGAAGACACTTCAAATACTACCTTTGGACCTGCTGACCTCAAAGATAGCGTTAATTCCACTTTGTATTTCATAGATGGGATGACGTGGCCAGAGGTTCTGCGGGTTTATTGTGAGAGTGACAAGGAATACCATCATGTTCTTCCTTACCAAGAGACAGAGGACTATCCTTATGGACCAGTAGAGAATAAAATCAAAGTCCTGCAGTTCTTAGTGGATCAGTTTCTTACAACAAACATTGCACGTGAGGAGTTAATGTCAGAAGGTGTCATTCAGTATGATGATCATTGTAGGGTTTGTCACAAACTTGGGGATTTGCTTTGCTGTGAAACTTGCTCAGCCGTGTACCATTTGGAGTGTGTGAAACCACCTCTTGAAGAGGTCCCAGAAGACGAGTGGCAGTGTGAGGTCTGTGTAGCACATAAGGTGCCTGGAGTGACTGACTGTGTTGCTGAAATCCAAAAAAATAAACCCTACATCCGACACGAACCCATCGGATACGACAGGCATAGGAGAAAATACTGGTTCCTGAACAGGAGAATCATCATGTGAGTACATTTCCCAACAATGATATTGCATTGGTGTGTTTTAATATGGCCTGGAAGTTGCTGTTGCCATCCTCAAGTTGTTCTTTCTCTAGACAAGGCCATTCTTGCTGGTTTCTAAGTAGATCTCTAAAGTCCCTGTAATTAATCCTTCATATTTATCCAAAATTAAAATTCTCAATCTGTATCTAAAAAGGAAGAAAAGTCAAAGCCTCAGGCTTCATATGAATGTGCCTAAAACACACGAATGTGAGTGGGGAAAAAATGGAATTATAATGAGAACTCTCCAGTTTCTTATAGAAGTTACTGAAGAGAAGTTTAACTCTTTGGGATCACACAGTGTGTAGAACATGTGGTGTATCACCTGCTTGAGCAGTGCTTGGCTGGCAGGTCCTGGTTTGCTGCTCTGCCTTTAAAGCTGAAACTTTACTGATTGCTCTTGAGATACTAATGTATCTCAAAACATGTGAACAACAATCAAACCCTTGTTAGTGCGGGCTCTGTGCCCTGGTTTTTTACCTGAAAAGCTGAATCTGAAATTATAAAGACACTTGTAGATTTTTCTCAGGAAATAGCTGAAGATGGGGATTTCTTGTAAAAGCCAGTTCTTATCTAATTGTTCTCATAACGGAGGAGAAATAGCATGTCAGTGAAATCAGTGGTATTGTTAATTTAGGAGAAATGAAGAGTTTTTACTAAAGCTCTCAAATACGATTTTCCATTCAGTGTTCTGGAGAAAATAAGCCACAGCTTGGTGCCTTAACAGAATCTCATCAGAACAGGTTACAGTGAATGTTAAGGTATTAGTCAGTGTCTTCAAAAGGGACTGTGAGGACTGTGGATGGTGTTAAACCTTGCAAAGACACTTCTAAGGACTCCTGTTAGTCCTTTAGAATCTGTTGCTCTTTCTCTGATGTATTGTGAGCTGATGCTCTAAGTATTAATTATCTCTGCTCTGTTTCCTGTGTTCTTCTGTCACACCTTTCGCACTTTTCTAAAAAAAGAGCCCATGCTTGATTATTTTTAGTTACCCTGGGTTATAAATGCCACAGTAGTGTCAAGTGATCTTTTAAAAGATGCAGGGGAATCTTTTGTACCCTTAGCTTTCTGTGTACTCCATGTTTGTGCTGAGTCTCATGCTCTGCAGGGAGTGGTGGATGGTTCAGATGGTTCCCCAGGATGTGATGGGCAGCCTGGAGCTGTCGCTATCCCACTTCTTCCCTTGCCTCATGCAGATTTTTCTGCCTTCTGTTTCTAGAAAATGTGTTGAAAGTTTGATATTCACAAGAAGCCTGGTTGGGAAGGACATGCAACTGGGATTATTTTTGCTCGAGCTACTTGTGCTTTAATAACTTATGGTCCCCTCTGTGCATGGTTTTGTGTCTTCCCTCTCAAACTTTTGAGGAAAAGGCTGTTCTGAAGTTGGGTTTGTCTGCTCTACTGTACTGGCAGAAGAATTCTGTTCTGCTTGCCATTAGGTCTGGGGATTAACATGGAAAACCCAGTCACTCACTCAGGAGGTGATTGTAAGATAAATAGGCAGATTTTTTCCCCTCCATATATGCAGGCAGATTGGTAATTATTTTTAACTGAACTCGATCTGTTTTTTC